TTTGAGAGATGAAATACCANACTGACTGTCAAAAAAAGATTTGAAAGATGAAATACCACCAAAATCACTCCCAGTAATAACAATGTCATCAACATAGACGACTAATAAGATGATACCAGTTGCAGATTGCTTATAGAAAACAGAATGATTGGACTTACTCTTCTTCATGCCAAGTTTTTCAATAGCCAGACTAAACTTTCCAAACCAGGCCCGGGGATTTTGTTTCAAGCCATACAAGGATTTACGAAGATGACAAACTTTCCCATACTCCCCTTAAGCAACAATGCCAGGGGGTTGCTCCATATAAATTTCCTCAGGAAGAGCACCTCGAAGGAATGCATTCTTAATGTCTAACTGATGTAGAGGCCAATTATGTGTGGCTGCCATATAAATAAATAATCGGATAGAAGTAAGTTTAGCAACCGGAGAAAAGGTGTCGGAGTAATCAACTCCTTATGTTTGAGCATAGCCTTCAGCCACAAGTCGAACTTTTAATCGAGCAACAGACCCATCAAGATTGACTTTAACTGCAAACACCCATTTACGTCTGATAGCCCTTTTACCTGCAGACAAGTGTACCAGGGTCTAAGTACCATTGTCATCTAAAACATTCATCTCCTCAATCATAACATTCCGCCATCCAGGATGAGACAGAGCTTTATGAACACTCTTAGGAAGTGTGATAGAATCAAGAAAAGTAACAAAAGAACAAGAGGACGGGGATAAATGGGTATATGACACAAAAGAAGATACGGGATAAGTACATTGAAGTTTACCTTTACGAAGAGCAATAGGAAGATCATCACTAGAACCGGGAGCCGGATCTGATGACGAAGGACCTAGCGCAGGATATGAAATGGGAGGCGTGGGAACAGGCACCGGATCAGGAGCGGGAGGTTGTTGGCGGCGAGAATAAACCTGTTGTATAGGAGGCTTAACAGAAGTAGAGAACGGAAGATCAGAACTAGGGAATGTAAAAGTATAAATTAATAAATCATCATCCTCCACAGACTGATAGAACCTGAAGATGAAGCAAATGGTGTTTGTTCTAAAAATGTAATATTAGTTGACACAAGGTACTCGTTAAGATTGTGACAGTAACATCGATACCCCTTTTACAAACGAGAATAGCCAAGGAAGATGCACTTTAGAGATTTGGGATCAAGTTTGGTAACATGAGTTCAAACATCCCGAACAAAACAATTACAACCATATATCCTAGGTTTAATAGGAAATAATGACTTGTTAGGAAAAATGACATGAAAGGAAGTCTCACCAGACAAAACGGAGAAAGTCATACGGTTAATCAGAAAACATGTTATAGAAACAGCATCGGCCCAAAAATGTTTAGCGACCTGTATTTGAAATAACAAAGCTCTGGTACTTTCAAGAAGATGTCTATTTTTTTCTTTCAGCAACTCCATTCTGAGATGGTGTATCTACATAAGAGGTTTGATGAATAATGCCATGTTGAACCATATAATTTTGGAAGTATTTTGATAGATATTCCTTATCATTTTCACTTCTCAAAATTTGTACGGGCACATTAAATTGAGTTTTGACTTCAGCACAAAATTCTGTAAAATGAGAGAATAATTCTAAACGATTTTTCATTAAAAATAACCATGTCATTCGAGAATAATCGTCAATAAAGATAACAAAATATTTAAACCCAACTTTAGATACAACAGGACAAGGACCCCAAATATCGGAATGAACTAATGCAAAAGGAGCACTAGCTTTGTTATTGACTCTAGGACTAGAACTCAAAGGATGATGTTTGGCGAATTGACAAAACTCATAATCTAATGAAGACAGACTAGAAAACTGAGGATAAAGTTGTTTTAACATAGACAACGAAGGATGACCGAGCCGACATGTGCGTTAAAATGGGTCACAACTCCAGAACAAACAACATACTTTGATGTTTGTGTATCAAGAATATAGAGGCCTCCAGACTCACGTCCTTTACCAATAATCTTATTCGTCATAAGATCCTGAAATAGACAAAAAAAAAGGATAGAATGAGATACTACAGTTAAGAGAACGTGTAAGTTTACTTACAGAGACCAAATTAAAGGATAAGTTAGGTAAACTTAAAACATATTGCAAAGGAATTGTAGGAGTTAGGACAATTGTGCCGAACCCTAGGATAGGAGATCTAGATCCATCTTTTTAGAGATTCCTGATACTGTGAGAACTTGGCATACTCATCTGCAGATATTAGGATGGGTTCATAAGCATCATTAGTAGAGGCAACATGGGCTGACTGGTTCGAAGGATGCTTGCGCTGTAACTTTCTACAATCTCTCTTCACATGTCCCGACTTATGACAATAGTAACAGACAACACCTCCCAAATCTTGTCCTCGAGTACTAAGATTTCGATCATAACCACTTGAGTTTTCCTCTTTATTGCCACTTCTATATGGCTATCTCCCAAATTTAGATGTGCGACTGACAAGAGCACTATTAGGATGAGCAGAAGCTGAATTTTCTATGCGGATTACCCTACTAAAGACTTCTTCCAAAGAGGATATCTCATGGCTAGAAAGAATTTGAGATTTAACAGTCTCAAACTCAGAAGGAAGGCCAGCCAAGAATATCTTTTCTCTCTCAGTTTGCTGATTTTTCACATCGATACTGAATGGAAGTAGCGTATTAAGTTTCACATAAGTCTTCTTAAAATCCATAAAGTAGTCAGTGAGGGATCTGTCACCTTTTTCTACACGATAAAAAGCTTGGCACACCTCGTAAGTGTGTTTGATATTTCCTTGACCAGAGTACACAAACTCTAAATACTCCATCAATTTTTTCACAAATTCACAATGATTGATCAAACAGACCACCTCACTATCAATAGAATTGCGTATTTGCAAAAATAGACGGCCATCATCTCTAGGTGATGAGGCTTTCGAATCATCACTAGGTGGTTCATCAGTGAGGTGATTATCCATAGCAATACTCCGCAAATAGAGCATAACAGTTTTACTTCATTTAAATAATTAGATCGATTAAGTTTATGTTCCGTGATTTTTGACATCATCGGAATCACATCAAACACAACCACGAATTTCTTTTCGTCCATATTATGAAATATCAGCCAAATAACGAGCACAAAGCCACAACAAAGTCAGAATAATTGACAAATCCGAACTTGTCCCAAAATAGATCATACACCGAGCCAAATAAGCAGATGCCGACCTAAGCAGGTAATAGAATGTGTCGTGGACCTTGAGGAGAGCAAAACGGTGCAAAAAAAAAAAAGAAATTCCGGGCGAGTGGTGGTCGGAGCAGAATCTTCAAGCGGCGCGTGTGGCTCACTCTCTAGGTTTCCGACGATGGGGCTCCGAGCGAAGGCTAGTTGGTGGGTGGCGCTCCTTCAAGTGCTGGCGGTGAGATCTAAAGGTGGCCGGAAGTTGGAGTTCTCACGAAACCCTAGCCACACTGCACTGTTTCTGATCTGTTTCTAGTATTTATTATTTTTTTTTTCTAAAATTTCAATCTTGCTCTGATACCATGTAAGTTGGGAGGAAAAATTATTTTTGTCAATTGTATTCAACAATCTCTTAGGTATATATACAAGTTACAATCCTATGTTAGGAAGGAACCTAATTATGTTAAATTCCTATAACTTAGAATCAAATATATATTTCCTATTCTAGAATATAATCTATAACAACTAGTATAAACAAAACCAAGCCTTTTATTCCCTCAATTCACTAGTCCAGAAACTTGTAGGGGTGTCCTCAACTCTAATTTTAATAGATTTCTTAATATTTATAAATTTTCATGGATTTTATGGAATTCAATAAAATTTAACAGATTTCATAAGATTTGAATGAATTTCTATTTTGTAGATTTCAATAGATTTTCGTGGATTTTATAGGTTCTCATGGATTTGTAGACTTCTCTATTATAATTGTATTTTTACCTCCACAATTTCCTAATACAAGTCGTTAACCAAACTCTCTAAAAAAAAAAATTAAAATTAAAATTCCACCATACTATTTCAAGTGTATTTTTCTTTGTGAACCAAATTATGTCTGGACGAGCAATTTTATGCATATTATGTCGAAATATGCAAATTCTAATAGTTAATCAAGTCCATCTACACTAGATCTAAATTGCTTTTGAAATGTCACTTCTGTCCCATCTCCCGCGAAAACAACTTTCTTCGTAAGATGATGAGACATTAGATACTAAAAGGCCAAGTTATCTGATACTAAAAAAACAAATTATTGTTTATTAAAATAAACTCATAAGTTGTCATCTAAAAGCAAAAAAATTGTAAACTTGTCTAAACCGAAGTGGGCGTTCTATGTGTTTACCATACATGATAATCATCAACTCATTTAATACTTGAAGTATTGCTTGAAGGGCCATTAAAACAAAGTAACAAACTTGATAGTTTCATCAAATTCTTCCTCGGTTTCTTGTCCTGTTCTTTCTTCCATTTCTTCTTCCATCTAGAAATACATAGTTTGATTAGTTTCTTACAATTTAGAAATTCACACTACAAAAATATATACATACATAATTGATCATAATAAAAAAATAAAAATTACTCAAATGAAAGTTTAAGCAAAGTTACCAACCCAATCAAAGTTTCAACAAAGTACTCAAAAACCACATTATCCTAATAAATTAAAAACATTAAACATTGACTCAAAGAATAACTTATTCCACATTATATTTTATCCATTCCCAACGCTCTTCATGTGACATTTTCAAAAAGCCATCTTTCATTCCAAACTTATGAATGAAAGCGAGTGCTTTGTAGCGAGTGTAATTATCCAAATTAGGAGTCTCTTTAATAGCATCTCATATATTGTTCTTGTGCTCCATTTCCTTTTTCTCTCTCTCTCTTTCCCTTCTCTCCAGCAATTTAAACATTTTTCGAATGTCAGTTGCAATTCCAGTAATAGAATCCATGCCATGAGAAATCTTTTCTTGAACATCAGCTCGGGTCATGGTATCAAATGAGCTAGAATTCTCATGTTACGTTCTAGTTCGCTTTCTACAGCCGTCATTTTCTGTAGGAAATTCGTTGTTAGTTTCCGTAGTAGGTGGGAAAGACATAGATGATGGAGCATTGGTTGACTCATCCTGTTGAGTTTGTATGTATGCCTCTTGACTCTCATCGAGCACATAGTCATCTATTGTAACATGCCTATTTTCTTCAACACCATATATTCTTGCATCTGATTCATCACCCGAACTAATTGAGTTTCTCCTTGTAGCAGTAGCATTGCCAACTGCTATTCTTAAGTCTTCATAGTCAGGAAAGGTGTCGATACGAAGGTGCCTCTGCTTTGGACGGGACTATCAAAGAACAAATATAGAAAAAAATGATAAGTCATCCTTTATTGTTAAAGAATTATAACTTAATCCAAAAAAATTATATGAACACTCACCTCGAAGTAATTATCCCACACTTCATCACTAGCGGTGAACTTTTTTGTGATTGAATGCCATCCAAAACCAGAGTTGTACTGCATAAGCTCAGAGTATTTGTGATATTGTTGCTTAAACCAACTCAAAGGACTTCGGTACATAGCATAGTTCTTCTGGCATCCAAGTTTTTCATTTAGAGCAGGAAGTATTTTTTTTTCAACTGTTTGTTTACTTAGCACCCCATTGCTATTAAACCATCCATGATTGACGGCATCAACCATAAGTTCTAACAATGTAGTGCTTTCTTTCATGCTCCATGCATTATACCCGATTCTACGTTTTCCTTGCGACACTTCCATTTATGATCTCACTACATAGTCCGTTATATAATATCCACTTATAATTAACCACATTACTAAACGCATTCTTACACGTATACAGTTAATAAAATAAAAAAACCAAATGATCAAATATTGTTCAATTGTTTGTTAAACATTTGAATAATATAATATACAAAAATATATATTCAACTTCACCAACTAAGGAGGTAAAAAACTCATAGTTAACGGAGAGCCATTTTCATAGTTAGAAATTGATCTGCAAAATGCAGTAATTGATATTTATGGATAGTAGGGTAGTTGAATACTTCCATTAATGCCCCCCTATGATTTTTTCCATTAGAGGGGCCGGGTTATCATTGTTACAAGAAATTTATTTCTGTTAATGTTAGAATTATGAATTTCTTGAATGAACTTGACCCGATTGAAAATATAAAAATCATAATTCTAACATTTCTTGAATGAACTTACACACTTCCTAATTAATCACACGTAATATTCAACAAAAAATAGTGTAAACCATCCAAAAATCATCATCAATTGATAAATTATCATACATATACAGATAAAGGAGGGAGAGAGAGAGAGAGAGAGAGGTTTAAAACCTGTCGCAGCAAAGAGACGGAAAGGCAAAAAAAAATTGCTGCAGAGAATGGCGTGAGAATCTGTGAAATTTTGAGGGTTAGATATAGAATTGTTACAAATTTTGGTATTTATATTTATGACTTGAAATCTTTTAAAATCTATTAAAATCCTACCTAAATTTCTCAAGAATCTATTGAAATCTAAGTTGAGAATACCTAAATTTTTTAGTATTTATAAAAATCTAAATTGAGGACAACTAAATTTTGGCGAAATATATTTTAATCTGAGTTGAGAACACCTCAATTTATATAAAGTTTTAAAATCCATTAAACTCTCGACCCCTAGTTTTAGAATGAAGACTACACCTTCAGCACTTGCAAAAATCGGCCTGTCAATCAAAAATTACCAAACATGTGGAAATAAATTCTGGGCTTCATTAATATACAAACACACTTCAAATAAAGAAAATTACCAGTCCAAAAGCTAATTTTGTCAGAAAAATAAAGATTTCCAGTGATCAGTCCAAAATGTGAACTGCCAACAAATTACAAGCAAATAAATCTTTTTTAAGTCACGTGGACCGAACTTCACAATGTTAAATACGTTGATGACTCAAAATTTTACTCGTGAAGGTTGATGATACTACCTGAAAGGTTGAGGAGCGAGCCCTTATTTTTCCATTTAAAAGTTAGCAAGTTGGTCCCAAACATTTTACGAAGTAGTGCCTTCATTACAGAATTATAGTTGAATCAATCCATTCTCAATAAAAGTAACGTTAGAGATGTCAATGGGCAGAGTCAAGCTCGGCTCGGCTCGTGGAGAAACGAGCCACGAGCGAGCTGGCTCGTTTGCTCGTGGGCGAGCTCGGCTCGGCCCACGAGCTCAGTAGTCGGCTCGGCTCGTGGCTCGCTAAATTTTTTTTTTTTTTTTTTATAGCATTT